ACTAAAAACAATGTTTCAATGAATGACTATCAATACTATCACGATTTAATCCTTTCATCTAAATGCAAAATGTGTGGTAAAGCGTTTACATATGCTAATAAACCAACATTGGATAGAATCGATAATGAAAAACCACATACCAAAGAAAATTGTCAGTTAATGTGTTGTTATTGCAATGTCGTAAAATCAAATAAAGATGAAGATGTTCAACGTTTAAGAATCAATTTAAGAAATTATGCATTAAAAAATAATTTACCAATGACTTTAGATTCAGTTGAAGCTTATCACATTCTCCGTAATGGAATTACTGGTGGTCTATCAAATGTTCAACATCGTGTTAATCTTAAAGGAATCACGCACATTAATAAACTTTCATATAATCCAGAAACTAAAACTGTATCAAATGAGGACACCACCAACATTATGACTCATTTTGTTGGTGTTGATTTTAATTCATTATATCCTTCATCATTTTCATCTAATCCTCATGATTTCATTCAATATACTGACCATAAAATGTATATGCCGGGAAGATTGAATGGTGTTATCATTTGTGATACAGCAACAAAGAAAGCAAAAGCACTGGGAATAATTAGAAAGAAAAATACTTTATTCGTGGCTGAAGTAAAGGGTCACATTGATGAAAAATACATTAATGATTACATAAACTTTTTACCAATAATAAGAAACTTAGATATTATCACAGATGAAAAAACAATTGGCAGTTTTATGTATAATTACATGAAATCAAACAATCTACCAGTTGACCAGAAACAGAGGAAATTAACTCAGTTAGCATCAACACACAACCAATATCAACCATTTTCTTCTTATTATCTTTGGTATCTAATAGACAGATTTCATTTTATCATTGATGATATTCAATCAATTTTAACATTTACGAAAAACACTTGCTTTAATGAATTTGCGAACGAATTTATGAACGAAAGACAAAAGGCTGAATTAGAAGGAAATAAAGGAAAAAGTTTATTTTGCAAGATTTCACTTAATGGATCATATGGTTACGATGCAATGAATACACAAAATTACGCAAAGACTAAAATAATGAATGCACAGAAGGCACGCGTTGCATGTATGTCAAATAAGTTTAAAAACATAAGAGAAATAGGTGAAGATACGTATCAAGTGATGCTTAAAGATAGATTTTATAGATGTGATACATGTTTACAAGAGGCATTCTTCACTTTAGATAACGCAAAATACTGGTATTTGGTTTTCATTTATGATTTTATGTATAAATGCATGAATGTTAATCGTTTTCATTTCATTGAAGGTGATACTGATTCATCTTATTGGGCAATCGCTGGCGACCCAAATCTTCCTAACACTCAAGCATTTCAAGCAATTGTTACTGATAAACAATTTTATGATAAAAACATTTACAAATTCGCACCTTTTGATTTCTTTTGTTTTAATGAGAAATTTAAACCTAAATTAAAGAATAAAGCTGAAGAAAAAGCACATGAGAAGAAGTTATTGGGTTTAGCAATTGAGAAACAAGGTGATAACATGGTTGCTTTATGCCCTAAGTGTTATACATCATTCAACGGTTCAATTGATGGAAGTGATTTTAAAAAGATTGCACAAAAAATGAAAGGAGTTAGTTTACGACAAAATAAACAATTAACACCTAAAAATTATTTGGATATAATAAATGATAAAGTGATATTTGATGGTCAGAATATTAATTTACAACTTAAAAACGGGTCAATGACTCGCTTAACAATTGGTAAGACTGCATTAACAGGAGCACACACTAAGGCTGTGTGTTGTGAAAATGGATGTTGTATGCCATTTATTTAATAAAATGCCACAGAAGAGACAAAAGGAACCGTTAATGATGTTTTTGATACTATGATTCAAAGAGGTGGGCACCCTTAAAACATTTATTTTATTTTTATATAAATGGATAACGCAGATTTAGAAAATTTAATTGATGATTTAGTACTTAATCAAAAAATTCTTAGTTATTATGAATTAAAATCATATCTCCAAAAATATAATAATAATATAACGGGTGATGATATGGATATTATTATCCATATTATAAAAATGAAATTTTGAAATATCATGATAGAATAATTTCTAAAATTAAAGACAAAATTAAAAATAATGAATATTCAAAGGGAAAAACTAAATCACAACTGAAACAATTGAAAGATTTTAAAAATAAAGTATTAACAGAAGAAGATATTGATGAATTATATAAATTATATAATCCTGAGCCGCAAAAGCAAAAGAAGCAAAAACAAAAGGTGCAAAACGCCCAGGTCCTTCAGACCATAAATGATGCACAAGCTTTAATTTATGATTCATTAGTTAAACCATATTCAGCCCGACTTTTAAATGAAGATCAACTTTTGGAATTCATCCTTCAACATAAACTCGAAGCGGGAAAGTATATTAAACCTTTATATACAGCATATTTAAAACAAATGAATAGAATACATCCAGAATTAATGAAGGAAGGAAGGAATTCCAAAACTTCATCATCCAAAATCAAAGCAGATAAAATTAAACCACTTGCAACACCAAAACCTCTAACGACAGTACCTGCAACACCAAAACCACCTCCTCCTTCAGTTAATCTTCATCATTCACTTTATTATATCCATTTCAAACATTAAAGAAACAAAAAGATTTTAAAAAGGATTTCAAGATATTAAATAAACCAATTGACCCAAAAATTCAACCGTTAAAGGAAAAATTTAGTCGCCCTTCATTTGCACCATATCCATATTCATATGAAATCGATCATTTAGAATATTCAAAAGGAAACGTTACTTATTTATTTACCATTAACATTAACACCAGATATTTATATTGCATTCCAGTGAAAGGGAAAACAGAACAGGAAACAAGAAGAGCTATTCAATACTTACTAGATCATGAAAGAGTAGATAATATCAGGGGTGATGGTGATAAAGGATTTCAGGCAGCTATGACTCATTATTTCCCACAAATTAATTTTTACTTTTCATCCTCTCCATATACGTTTCATAATAAAATAGTTGATGCGGTAATGAGAACTCTTAGAGATGCGTTAGGGGTTAACGGTCAGATATACTGGGATGGAAATCATGACTCCATCATACAACAGTTAGTATATTATTACAATAATACATGGCATAGAACAATAAACATGAAACCAGTGGAAATGAAAAATGATATTTCAAAAGAATGGGAATATATTAGAAAGCAAATGGAAAGGTTGAATGATGTTAAACGTGAACAAATTAATTCGGGGCTCATGAATTTTAAACAAGGGGATAAAGTTTTGATTCATCTCGATTATGGAAAAACTGATAAATCAATGACAAAAAGAAGACGAAGATTTGACACAATAGCTGAATTTGTTAGATATATTAACGGCAATGCATTAGTTGAGGTTAACAATAAATTAATAGAAATTCCGATTTATTTTATTACTCCATTATATTTAAATAATATTTAATTTTTTTATTTCGTAAGAAATGAGTGACAACGAAGCATCCAAGAGTCCAGACAATGAATATAAAAAGAAACTAAACAGAATTAAATCAAAAATATGCTATTACAAAAAGAAGCCACAATGCGGTGAGGTTGAAAACGATAAAGAGAGGAAAGAAATAATCGAAAAATTAGAAACTTACCGTTCAATCCTTAAACTGAGTGAAGCAAAAATAAAAGAATTTAATAGAATAAATAAATTGATTGGAAGAGATGAATTTAATAAAGATGAATTTTTAAACTCAATCCAAATTTAATTTTTATTCCTCTTCGACAACATCTCTCTTTCCATCATTACTGCATAACCACATTTTCTCATTTTAGTGGTTTGTTATTTTTAACATGTTCTTGCATCATTTTTATCATTTCCTCCCTTGTTATGATTCGTGGTAAATTTTGAGCTTGTGGGGTATTCATTTATGATAAAAATAAAAATTTAAATTATGCCGTTTGCTCTTTTGGAGCTCAGGACTTTCAGTCCGTTCTAAAGTTTGAGACAACATGACATTTTGACAACAACACAGGAAATAAATGTTATCGTTTATGTTTTCATTAATGATTTTAGGTTATTCAATAATTAATTATTTTTGAATAACTGGGAAATAAATTTACGTCAAATATGCAATTTATAAAATCTTATGTCGACAGGCTACGTAGCACAGTGGTCTAAGGTGGTGTTATGGAGGGGTCAGGTCTGTGGTTCGAACCGCGACAGCGCCGTATTTTCTTATTTTCTTTGTTTGTCTTGTTTGTCGTGAATAAAAAGTGTCATAAAAGTGCTCTATCTTCCACGGGAATAAATAAAAAATTTACTTTTTCTTATTTCTTCTTTATTTCTTTGTTCCCGTGGAAGAAGGGTTTTGCTTTTTCTCAGCCGAAATCAATGATTTTTTCATTTTTGGAATCCTTAGCGAATGAGGAATCTTTTCTCTCGTGGAAGCTTTGACCTAAAATATATTTAGGTGAAGAGGTGAGATCTCACCTGTTTTTTCACCTGTTTTTATGGTAGCAGTGAAATAAAATTTTGTTATCAGTTATTTTATCATCATTTTATTAAGTTCATCTTTAGTTAATAATTTGAATGGATTCGCTAATGTTCCACCTTGAGTCACAACACTTGCCCCGGCTAATTGTGAAGAACCTGGGATAAGTACTCCACGAAATGATTTCATTGGTATCATTAATTTAGAAATAGTTGGCTTAATTAATTTGGTCATTTATGATAAAAATAAAATTGCATAATTTAAATTTTTTTTCTTTCTCATTTTCTCATTTTCTCATTTTTCATTCTGTTTTGGTTTCAGCAACTTTTCAAGTTGTTGTCTTGTCAGTAACTTTAATTTTAACTTTGGATCAAATATTGGGTTTCCATCTTTATCTCTTCCAATAACACCATATGGTAGAATCTTCATTTATACTAAAATAAAAATTTAAATTATGCTGTTTGCTCTTTTGGAGCTCCTAAAGTTTGTTTCACAAACATTGAGCGTTCATTGAACTCTATACCATGCGAATACAGTCATAAATGGTGGCATGTAATCTTTACTTTGTCCCGTTGTTTGTGTATATCCTGAAACGCGATGTGTATGGTTTCCTTCTCCCTGAGTGTCACTCCAGTAACAATTTATGGCAAACTTAACGTTGTCTTTAACATCATATCCTTTACCTTTTGTCATTCCTGACCAATCCCAATATCTATGCTTATGCCAACCCGCTTGAGATGTACTTAAATCTATGTAGTGACTGTGTGCAGGTAAATTTTCACCTGTAATCGTTTTACTTCCCCCTGTTTCCTTTGAAGAGTTTGCACAATACAAAAACCTGTCGACTATTTGTTCCCATGCACCAACACCAAACATTGCTTGAGGACCTCTCACATCCATAGATGTATAAATAGAACCTACTGGGTTCATTAAATCAAACATATGAGATAATATAGGATTGTCTCTTTTGAACTTAAAATATAGTGTAACTATTTCGGGTTTCTTCTGGTTTGTGTCAGAATATTTTTTATAATATAATCTTATGTTTTCAGGGTATGTAAAATCTTGACTATAATATTTATTTTTGTCATCTATATAATAATATACTATTCTCGTTTTTTCTATTGCATTATATCTTTTATATCTATAATAATCTAAATATAATGTTTGCTTTTGTTCATCTACATGCGGCGTTCTGACATCATCTCCAGAGTCGAAATAATACGGTGCTGGAGCTACGTTAGACAATGTCATATCCGTCATTTCATAAACTCTTAAATATTTCTTTTGTTCGTCTCCATATAAGTTTAAGTAACAGTTGTTGTCTAATGGAACTTTAACTTGTGTGTCATCATTCTTTTTATAACTTACATACATTTCATTGTTATTTTTCGGAATGAGTTTATACCGTATACCATTTTTTAAGGAGTGTACAAACTCCCATCTAAAATATTTATTTTCTTCATAGACGGAAAAGTCACCAGCAATAGTTTCAATATTTTTAGTTGTTCCTATCAAACTTTGGTATATTTCATTCACATATTCTTTATTTGCTTTCTTCTCTAACTCATCGTTAACATAAGTTTTATCTGCTTTAAGGTCTAAACATTCTGAAACCCATCCTGTATCAGCTTTAGTTTTTAAAATCTTCGATGTCCGTTCATGTACCATTCAACCCTTTCGATAATTTCATTATCTTTTTCATTAACATATTCCTTATCTGCTTTCTTCATTAATGCACTAGCCACAAGTTCCTTATCTACCTTCTTCATTAACTCACTATCCACATATTCCTTATCTGCTTTCTTCATTAATGCACTAGCCACAAGTCCCTTATCTGCCTTCTTCATTAACTCACTATCCACATATTCCTTATCTGCTTTCTTCATTATGTCATTTAGGAAACCTTCTATGAATTCCTCATTTAAATTAAATCTTCCAATCTTCAAAACTTTAGGAAATGCATTTAATGCGTAATATCTTTGTTCTTCTGGTGGAATTGATGTTATATCATCCGTTATTCCTTTAATTTTTGAATTCATAAATAAAATTTCTTTTATATTTGATATCACTGCACACCCTTGCAAACGAATTCAAAACGGTCATTTTCAATACTATCTCCAAATCTCCATATTTCAACATTTGCGTTTGTTCTGCCGTCTTTGAATTATATGCATATATGGCGTATGTAATGGTCTGTGCCTTAAGTTGTTGTGGTTGCTGTTGTTTAATCATTTATTATGATTTAAAAATAAATATTTAATCTGTTATCTCATCAGCTATTTTTTCTATTTGAAATTGCCATAATATTTCATTCATAAATTCTAAATCACAATCAAATAGGTCAGTTATTCTAAATTTAATATTTGATAAATCTTTTGAATGAAGAATAAATGAATTCCCGGATAATTGAAACGGATATGATAAAGAAAATATGTTTAAGTTGATGGATAAAATGTTTTGTATTGATGGGTAAGAGTTAGGGTCTAATGTTTGATGTGAAAATCTCATTGGGGTATTAACTTTATCACATTTGATTAAAATGAAATTGGAACCAGTGTCAGAATACAAAACATCCCCAACATCTTTTTCAAAATTTAATATCCCCAACAATGAACGAAGATGAGGAGTACAAAATTTAATTTTCAGCGGAAATTTAATAAGGTTATTTATTTCATCAAGTTCAAAAAGTTTATCAGGTTTTGATTTAAAATTTTCTTCATACCATACGATAAATGATTCATTTAAATAACTTAAAATCGTGTTAATATCCCATTTCGTTATCACATTATTTATATACATATCATACGTTTTTTCAAGGTCATCTTTAATAAATGATATATAATCTGAAGGGTCTAAAAGAATGGGATTAAATTTACCACTCACAGAAACGAGAGTAACATTATAAATTCCACTAACTGTTAAATTTAATTCACAACTATTATTCGAAATAATATTGATAATTGACATTTTTATTACGATTAAAAATATGGTAAAGCGTTATTTTCCAGTGATAAATAAAACTAGAATAAGATTACCTCAAGAATTCATAAATTCAACGAATAAGAAATTCATTCATGTTATAAATTTCAGTGTTTTCAGAAAATATGAGTCAATGTCATATTCATCATCGGGTTATATTTCACTTCATTCAAATTTAGTTCAATCAAACCCATATAATGACCATTTCATAAGATTTTCAGATGGTATTAAAATGCAATTGATAGATTAAAATATGAACAGATTGACAATATCGAATTTTTGGAATTTTGGTTTAAATATCCTGATGGAAAAAAGATTGAAGTTAAAGATAAAGCTGATACTATAACAAAAACAATTACAATGACCGATCCAGATAGTGGGGAACAAAAAGAAATAAAACAAACGATAGAAACTGGTGAAAGGTCAATTATTATTGATTATGATTCAAAGGATTATTATTCAATAATGTTAATGCTTGAATATTAAATAGCCTTAACAAAGAATTTTTCAAGTGATATTTTATATTCATCAACTATTTTATTATAAATATCATTATATGTTAAATGAAGTTCAGTTGTTGTTCCGTTCTTTGATATCTTAATTGTGCTAATATCCTTTATAGGATTTATTTTTGCAACTGTTCCGCAGCATGAAACCTCATCATCTATGAAAAATTGAATCTTAACGTCTGAATCTTGAACATCACAAAGAATGGCGATAATGTGAATTAATGATTCATAAGGTAAAATAATTAAACCGATTGGTCAATTAAATTTATTATTGAATCATAATTATCAGTTATTATATCACGGTAAATTTTCATTAATTCAGAATTAATGTCTATTTTATATGGCGCATTGCGACTGGAATCGTATATTCCTGGGTTCTCGATGTTTGATGAAAGAGGTGGGGGGTATGTTGGATATGTGGGGATTTCAACGGGTTCTTTACCGGGTTCAGATAAAATGATTGGGTCTCCATTCTCATGGTTTTCTTCATTCTCCTCATTCTTCGGTAAGTCACGAGTTAATAAATTTGGTTGAGTTGCTGACCTTGTTAATTCAGGGCTAACATTAACTTTAACATTTTGAATAATTCGTGATTTATCATCATTTACGTTATAACCAACCGTAATCTCTGCTTTTGCGTTAGTGTTCTTTTGACTTGTGAAACGTCTTCTCATTTATAATTGAATAAAAAAAAAAAAATATATATTTAAAGTTTTATTTAGTTGTTACGGTAATATCCCAAGGTTCATCATTGTTTGCTTATACTTTCTTTGTAACTGCACCAATAATGTTATTGATATTGCTTTGAGTTTCTTCCAGTCTTATTTCATCATTTACAATATCTTTAATCATTTCATTACATGCATTCTTAAAACCATCTGATTTTTCTAATTTACGTCTATCACTTTCTTTAATTAAATCAAAGTTATAACCTTGTTGAGAATAAAGTGGTTTCTTTATCAATTCCTTGAACGCTTCTGCAAGTGAAGATGAAGAAATTCTTGCCACTTGAATTGGTTTAAATTCTGCTTTCATTGCTTCTTTCTGTTCATTGAACACTGGATCGAATAAAGCAACTTTAAAGAATTTCTTAGCTGGAATTTCAGGTCTCAAATTTGCATATTGACCATCAAACTGATTAACATATTGTGGTAATCCATCCGGTCCTTCTTCAATAGCGTTTAATTCTTCATTGAAATAAGAATATGGATTATGACGGTATGAATTAATTGGCCATGTTCACCTTCTCCAATGTATTGTTTAACAGCTTTTCCATTTTCATCAAATTGCATAGGATAACATTCATTATATGCTTTACGTTTAGGATAATCAGATACAGTTAATTTGTAACCATTTATGACTTTAATATTACCTCGACCATCAGTAACGAAAACTTCATTTATACCATCAGGTTTTCCATTTGGACCTGTAATGTCTGCTTCATGTGCTTCCCAATTTGGACCTTGACGTTTGGCATATGCTTGAGCTTCTGGTAATGTTAAAACGTTTCTCATTTGTTTAACATCTTTTTGAAGACCAGCAACAATATGAACTAATTCTTTCATTCCGTCTGGAACTTTCATAGTTCTATTATACACACCCCCTTTTTGTTTGTCCCTGTTTTAATGGAACCTGTAAAAGATTTGCTATTTCTGTCATGTTTAATTATAAATAAAAAATAAAAATTAATTATAAAAAGTTAATCAAATTTAACACATCCTTTATTTAAATCAACTATTATTTTTCCATGTTCACCTAATTGTTGATATTGTGTGTAAAGTTCATTAATGCTCATTGGTAAATTCACTTGATAAAGCATAACGTTCAACTGTTGACGACTAAAACCACTGAAAATGAAAAGTGTTGATAGATTTGATTTAATGTTTGTGCTTAATGCTTTGAAGTATTGAACAGCCATGAAGAATGAACACTGAATGTGTCGACATTGAGTTAATAACTGATTAAAATATGATTTCTCATTTGTTATTAGTTTTGATTTCACCGCATCATCTAGAAAAATGAGTGAATGCAAAAATTCTCTATCAAAATTTGAAATAGAAAGTGTTTCAAATAATTCATCCCGTTGTTTATCAATAATTTTATCCTCTAATCCTTGCTTCTTGATTGTATTATATAATTCTTTATACATTAAAAAGTTTTTTAAATAATCTTCTGCTTCTTCTTGTGATAAATAAATAATTGGAATTTTGATTAAATGCTTTAAAGATTCAAATGTATCATCTGAAGGTGAACCTGAACGGTTGATATAAATTAACACATGTGAATGGGGGGAAGTGTTAGCAATAATGATAATTTGTTTTAATATCGTTAATGTTTTACCTTTATTTTGTTTACCAATTGCTGCAGTGATTGAATTTAAGTAACATTCAGAATATGGAATTTTCATTAATTTTTCCTTAGATAGAGCATTTCTATTATCACTCAATGCTTCATTAATCATATCATCTACGTATGTATTATATACTCCCGCTAATTCTTCAGAATTTAAATCCATTTAATCAAAAATAAATTTATAATTTTATACATTTCTATTCATCAATATTTCATCATATGAACTTCTATACTGTGGTGGTGTACCTGTTGGATGATATTTCAAACCTTCATCCGGTGTCCATGTCCAATACGTAGTCCTAGTAAACCAAACCTGAGGAGGATTTGTCACCTTTGAACAGTAAGTGTCATTTACACCCTGAATGATTGGATAAGCTTTCACTTGTACTGTAACTTGTGAGTTGAAAGTTTCTAATCCATCAAAGAATATACCCGCTCCATCACGTTGAACTGGAATAGTGCATAAGAATGAAGTTTGGTCTTTCCATGTTCTAGCTAATGGCGTGCCATTATCATCATTCAGTGGTCTAGTTA